GAGTTTACCCCCTCCCCCCAAATCAGACATGCTGAGAAAGCATTGTGAAGTGATTCGCTTTCTACAGCTGGGTTCAAGAATTAAATGTTGGTTTTGGATTTCCGCTATTTTGCTAATTAACCCTGGAAGTATTTCTACTGAGAGTCAGATAATTAAGAGATTGGTTTCTGTGCTCTGGAGTCATGGCCGTGCTGGAGAGCCGCTCGTGGGGGGCAACTGGTGGCCTCGGTAGGGCGTGAAGGATGGACTGGAACGCCCCCCTTCCCATGAGGTTTTAGTCGCCCCCACACCCCCGGCTCACACCTGCTCTCCACAAGGCACCCATGTGGCCGCCATCTTCTTTCCAGAGAGGAGAGGGTGAATGGGGCAACACCCTTTCCCCTCCGGGCAGACATGATGGCCTGGATTAACGCATAGTCCGTTCACTTTTCTGCTCCAAACTGCTGGGTTCTGCATTAAGTCCTTGTGCTTCTGGGGCCGTGGCCGTGCTGGAGAGCCGCTCGTGGGGGGCAAATGGTGACTTCGGTAGGGCGTGAAGGACGGACCAGAATGCCCCTCTTCCCATGAGGTTTTAGTCGCCCCCGCACCCCTGGCTCATACCTGTTCTCCACAAGGCTCCCATGCGGCCGCCATCTTTCTTTCCAGAGAGGAGAGGGCGAATGGGGCAACACTCTTTCCCCTCCGGGCAGACATGATGGCCTGGATTAACGCATAGTCCGTTCACTTTTCTGCTCCAAGCTGCTGGGTTCTGCATTAAGTCCTTGTGCTTTTGGGGCTGTGGCCGTGCTCCAAACTTAACTCTGATTTTCAGGGAGAAACGTTGGGTGATTTACTTCCCATTGATCACTTTGAATATACAGAGATGTTGGAGGAAAAGTCCTAGTTCCCGCATACTCGAGCTATGCTTGTGGAGGCTTCTGGTCACCGGGGTTCCATCTGGGGGAGGCGGGATGCGGCACCTACCCCATCTGGGACTTCCCGGCGATCTCGGCTCTTTTTGGAAGCTGGTGCCTTCTCCGGGAGCTGTGGAGCCAGCCCTCTATGTGGCCCTTCTCTGCGGCTGTATGGCACTTATCCTGTATCTTTTTGATGCCGGGATAGCTTATGGCTTGTCCTGGTTCTAAGCCCCTCGACGTATCCCCTTTTAGGGTGTTAAGAACTAAGGGCAACTGAGGCTTAAGTCAAGTAAATATGGATGCCCAGGAGTAAATATTATTCAGTTAACTCCCAAGTTTCAAAAAAGCATAGCATTAACTGTCTTTCTGGATCTATCCAAAGGACATTGCTCTAAATGGAAAGGACAAAAAGGAAAGAGAAAAATAATATTTCACTTACATATACAGAATTCAGTTCCCTCAGAAAATTTTACTTTATAAGTCAGAGTCTGATTTGGGGATATTTGTGATTAACGGGGAAAGATAAGCACAAAGGAGAGGTTAAAGATAAACACAGAGGATTGGGAATGCCTTGATGGAATTGGGAGTACTGTGATGGTGTAATTCAGTAAACCTAAGCTCCCTAAGGGAGGAGAAAGGGCACACCAACATTACTTCCTAAGATGCGTAGAATTTCAATTTAACACTTAATTACTGTTTCAATTTTCTTGTAACTGGCCTATTTAAGCTTTCTACTTCCTCGTTCAGCTTTGGGAGATGACATGTCTCTTACGAATCTATCCATTTCTTCTAAGTTCTCCATCTTAGGAGTTGTTCATGGTTACCTCATTATTTTGAATTTCTGAAGGATCCATTGTAATTTCTCCCCTTTCACCTCTGATCTGATTTGAACATTTTCTCTTTTTTCCCTTGTGAGTGTAGCTAATGGTTTATCTCTCTTGTTTATTATTTATTTATTTTGAAGAACGAGCTCCTGATTTCATTGATTCTTTGGATTGTTTTCTTGGTTTCTATGCTGTTGATTTCTGCTCTACTTTCTACTTTTTTTTTTCCCTGCTCTAGTTTTTTATTATTTCCCTCATTCTGCTACTTTTTGGATCTGTTTCTTATTCCTTCTCCAGATTTTTGGGATGTGTGCTTAGTTATGATTTGGGCTTTTCCTCCTTTCTTGCTTGTAGGCTTACATTGCTGTGAACTTCCCCCTTAGTATGGCTTTTACTATACAGCTTGTGCCCGCTTTCTTAATTTCAAGGAAATCATAAAACTTTCAAGGAATTGTTTTATTTCTACCTTGATTTCTTCTTTGATCCAAATACTGTTTAGCAGTGTTTTATTCAAGTTCCAAACGTTAACAAGCTCCCCCCATCTTCTTTGTGTGATTAATTTTTACTTTTGTGGCATTGTGGTATTAGAAGGTAGTTTGTCCAATTTCTATATTTGTAATTTTATGTATGTTTGAGTTGTGCCCTAATATGTGATGTATTCTGAGACTATTCCATGTGCATTAGAGAATAATATGTATTGTTATTTGGGGGGATATAAAGTCATGTGTATGTCCAAGGAGTCCAGTTCCTTAAACTCCTCTTTTAGGACTCTTGTCTCTTTACTGATATTTTGAAGCTGATCTGCTAAGTGGGAAAAGTGGTGTATTGAAGTCTCCCACTACCAATGTGTTTCTGTCAATGTGTTTCCTTAGGTTTGTAAACTCTATATTTAAGAACTTTGCTGAGCCTTCTTTTGGAGTGTAAATGTTGATGACAGTATTTCTTGATCTATTGTTCCCTTGACTAATAATTAGTCTCCATCATTGTCTCTAATTACTTTCTTTATATTGAATGAAATTTAGTCTGATATAAATATGACTTTCCCATTTTTTTCTGTTTTTTTTTTTTTTTTGATTTTTGGGTCACACCTGGCAATGCTTAGGGGTTCCTCCTGGCTCATGCACTCAGGAATCACTCCTGGCAGTGCTCGGGGGACCATATGGGATGCTGGGAATCGAACCTGTGTTGGCCATGTTGGCTGCGTTAAGGCAAACGCACTGTGCTATCGCTCCAGCCCCCATTTTTTTCTGTTTTTGTCTTCCATTGACTTGTATAATTGTTTTTCATCCTTTCACTCTTTTTTTTTTATTGATTCACAGTGAGGTACAGTAACAAAACTTTGATGTTTGAGCTTCGATCATACAGTCATCAAACACCCATCCCTTCACCAGTGCATGTTTTACACCACCAAAATCCTCCCCAGTATCCCCCCCCACACCTTATCACACCTCCCCCTGCCTGTGTGGCAGATAATTTGCACAATATTCTCTTTCTGTACTTTAGTTACCTTCGATATTTCAAGACTAGTCCCACTACCCCTCATACCTGCCGAAAATGCAGTGCTAGACAATGTATTTTGTATTGCTTGTTATGGATACAATATAATGTCACACGGCTGCAAGAGTGCCCGTGCACTCTAGGAATTCTAAAATTTTAATAATTAGGGTCAGAAGAAATCGTTACAGCAAGCTGCTCAGGTCCGAGATTCATTTGTGTGTCTGTGGATCATGGCCGTGTGGGAGCTTAAGTAGATGGTGGCCGGCCGTGGCATCATCTCGGAGTCCCATGGAATGGGGGGGAGGAGAAGGGCCTGCTCCTCCCCTGTCTCATGAGGCTTGGGATTTGCTGTCACCGTCACTCGTACCTGGAGCTTGTTGCTGACTTCTAGAAAATGGCGGCCACTGGAGCTCTTAGAGTGCAGGCAGAGGGACAGCACCTGCCCCGTCTGGAGCAGCCCAGTGGAGAAGGCCTATTGTGAAGTCCCGCGTCATCTCTGCAGCAAGTTGCTTGGGTCTGAGATTTGTTTGTGTGTCATCCTTTCACTCTTAAGAGTATATTTATCCTAGGAGTTTAGGTGTGTTTACTGTCGGCAGCAAAAGGATGATATTTTTTCCCCCTGATCAATTCAGCTAAACTCTATATTTTTATAGAGGAGTTTAGTCCACTGACATCAGAGAGTTTATTAATATAAAGGGCTGTGTTGCTGTACTGTGTATGTGTGTGTGTGTATGTGTGTTCTTGCAAATTACAATAAGCCTTTCACTAATTCTTGTAGGATTGGTTTAGTCGTTGCAAATGCTACCAGCTTTTGTCTGAAAGGTTCTATCCCTCACTCAAGTCTAAATGGTAGCTTTGCCAGTAGGTAGGGAGTCTGTCTTGCCCATGGCTGACCCGGATTTGATCCCCTGCACTTGCTGAGCTCAGAGGAATAAGCCTTGAGCACCAGTTTATTATTTATTTTGGTGTGGCCTCACCAAAAAAAGAAAGACCAAAAATTGGAAATATAAAATGACTTTATGCATTCTTTTGAATCATTGCTTTAGTACTTCTTTAATTTTTTAAAATTAAACCACCATGTGATGCACAGACAGTTGTTCATGATTAGGTTTTGATCATATAGTGTTCCAATACCTGTCCCTTCACCATACGTTTTCCACCACCAGTGTTTCCAGTATTCCTCTTTCCACTCCCTCCCCCACCCCTACCCCTGGTCTGTCTCTACTGCAGTCCTCCTCCTCGTCCTCCTCGTCCTCCTCATCCTCGTCCTCCTCATCCTTGTCCTCCTCATCCTCGTCCTCGTCCTCCTCCTCCTCCTCCTCCTATTCCTATTTCTGTACCTCCTCCTCCTCCTCCTCCTCCTCCTCCTCCTCCCTCCCTCCCTCCCTCCCTCCTTTCCTCCCTCCCTCTTTTTGGGCATTATGGTTTGCAGAGCACAGGTACTGAAAGGTTATCGTGTATATCCATTTACCTACTTTCAGCATTCAGTATTTGCCCAGAGTAATCATTTCTGACTATCATTGTCATAGTGGTCCCTTCTCTAATCTAACTGCCCTCTCCCTGCTATTTGTGGCAAGCTTCCAACTATGGGACAGTCCTCCTGGTCCTCATCTCTACTGTCCTTGGGTAATAATCTCAAACTATGTTTTTTATATTCTACAAATGAGTGCTACCATTCTATGTCTGTTCCTCTCCTTACTTATTTCATTCAGCATAATACCCTCCATGTCCATTCAGTTTTTCACCTTAATTTTTGAATAAAAACAATTTGATTTTTCAGTAGGTGCTGGGAAGAAAGGGTATTTTGGTGGCATATATGATGCAGTACGAGCTGGAGATGTGAAACAGCTTTCAGAAGTAGTAGAACGTGGAGCAAATATTAATGAAGTTGATGTTCTACATAAATTCACCCCTTTACATTGGGCAGCACATTCTGGAAGCTTAGAGGTAAGAATCCAAATAAGTTATTAAGCTAAAGTAAGTTTACAGCTGGTAGCACTTTTGTGAATTTAATAAATAGTACTGAGTTCTTGATAAAGTAAAATTTCCCCCCAAACTAAATTTTTATAGGTATTTAAGTTAAATTAATATTGTGAATAATTAGCCCGCTCTTCTCTGGAAAGAAAGATGGCGGCCGCACGGGAGCCTTGTGGACAGCAGGTTTGAGCCGGGGGCGGGGGACGGCAGGGGCCTCATGGGAAGGGGGGCGTTCTGGGCCGTCCTTCACGCCCGACCGAGGTCACCAGCTGCCCCCCACGAGCGGCTCTCCGGCACGGCCACGACTCCAGAGCACAGAAACCAATCTCTTAACTATCTAACTTTTAATAGAAATACTTCCAGGGTTAATAAGTACAACAGCAGAAATCCAAAACCGCGCGGCCGCATTTTATTCTTAAACCAAGCTGTAGAAAGCAAATCATTTCACAACGCTGTTTCAGCATATCTGATTTGGGGGGGGGGTCATAAACTCTAAACAATAATTGTGCATCTTCTATCGAAACAATGTATCTAGTCAAAGTAGATAGAGTATTAACTAGAACTCATCTGCCACACAGGAATTGGGAGGGGTGGGAGGTGGGGTTCTATTGGGGTTCGCGGTTAAAAATAAGTATTGGTAAAGGGAAATGTGTTTGATACTTACATGACTGAGACCTAAACCCGAAAGCTCTGTAACTTTTCCCACAGTGATTCAATAAAGAAATAAATTATTTAAAAAAAATATTGTGAATAATTTTATATTAATAAAATTTAAAATTTGCATCAAATGATAAATCCCCCAAAAAGTAAAAGTGAAGGACATTAGGAAAAATTTAAAGGATGAGGCTAGAGTGATAGTACAGTGGGTAGGGCATTTTTCTTGCACGCAGCTGACCTGAGTTTGATCCCTAGCATCCCATAGGTCCCCCAAGCACTTCCAAAAGTAATTCTTGAGTGTAGAGCCAGAAGTAACCCCTGAGCACCATTGGGTATGACCCAAAAAAGAAAAAAAAAAGTAAAATTTAATGGGAAAATCTTAAATACATAGTAAAAGTATATAAATAAAAGAAATAAAAATTTCTATGGATTAAAAAAAGCCACTTAATTGGATAAAGAATATTCAATATCAATGAAACATGGGTTCATTATTGCCAACGTGTAAATCTAGGAGTAAACAAACCTTTCTTAATCTAATAGAGGACAGTCATAAGCAACATGAGTGAATGCCATATTAAATGTCCAGTGCTGAGAAGTTTGTCTTGCCTTTTAAAGATGCTCTTTTAAAAGGCAAGGCGGTTTAAAGACTATGAATTTCCTAAGCTGTTGCCTGTTCCTGAAGCTCTGTATCATTCCTTCAAATCTGAATGTTAATTGAGCTGGATAACGTATTCTTGGTGGTGTGTTCAATCACTGAGTTTTTGTACTATATTCTTCCGTTTTCTTGTGATTTGTAGAGTTTCATTTGATGTATTGTGAATCTTATGACTTTTCATTTGTATGTAAGTTACTTTTTTGATCTTGCTGCTTTGAATATTGTCTCTATCTTTTGCTTTTGTCATTTTGAGTACAACATATCTTGTTTTCCTATTTGAATCTTTTCATGCTGATATTCTTTGGGACGCTTGTATTTGGTTGCCTGTATTCTTCAACTCTGGGAAATTCTTATCTGTGATTTCTTTTAAAAATAATTTAACACTTTATTTAAACATGATTTACAAAGTTGTTCGTAATACACTTGTTATGGGCTTTTGATATTTCAACACCAATCTCAACCAATCCTGACAATCCTTCCTCTTAGCGGACCCATAATCATTTCTTTTGTATTGCTTGTTACAACTAAATGGCTAAAGGAATTATCAAAAATACTACAGTAAAAGAAAATTTGTGAAAGTTGTTATACTCACCATGGGGTTGTTAGGTCCTTGTCTGAAGATTTACTGAGCTGTTTGTTGCTCTTTGAGCCTTCTGTGTTAATTGTTTTTGTTTGTTAGTTTGGTTGACTTCTATGTTACCTTCCTGTTTAATTTGGTGTGCTCCTATTGGAATTTTAACACTGTGGAATTTGTAGTTGCATAGTTCAGAAATTTCAGGATCTGTAGGACTGGGCCTGTGAGTTGACATGGTTGCAGCTATGGGAGGTGGGTGGCTTCAGGGGCTTTTGGAATTTAGGGGCTGACGGGAAGCTTCCTGCCCCCACTTTGAGAATACCCCAGAGTTCTCAGCCTGAACATCGGAATATTTGGAATTTTTGTGGTTTGGTGTCTCTGCAGAGATTATCAGTGAAGCAGTGGAGTTGGGCCACTACCATGGCACCACGGTTGGGTGTGGTTGTGGCTGTCAGAGCTTAGGCAAGTTGGGGACTCAGGTGGCCCCACACATGAGGGGCCCCCAGAGTTTTCAGCTGAGAGACTCTGCGTGTCCATGAATTTTAGTGGTCTGACTTGCATCTCTCTGGAGATTTGGTCATGAGTCTGAAGAACAGTGGGTGAGTTGACATCTTAGATGTGATTTCTTTAGCAGTTGTTTCTTCATCAAATTTATCCTGTTCAGGGACTTCAATAGTTCTTTTATTTTTCTTTTTGAACTCATCTCATGGTTCTTTGGTATACTGTTTATTTCTTTTCAGACTTTTTCACATTCTGTTGTTTTCAAGAGATTCCCCTCATCTCATCTTAGATCATTTCTTGTGCTTTGCTGATTTCCCATGCCACCATTTCCATGAGCTCATTAAACATCTCACGATGGTTTCTCTAAAGTCATTCTCTGAGGGTTTGCTGAGCTGGTTGGTTCTGGTTGAGCCACTTGTGTTGTTTTTGCTCATTGAACTGGGTGGGCTTTAAATGTCGTCTCCATTGGGTTTGCTTTGGTCCTGCTGTGTTGAAGGTGAATCTTTGTACTTAGTTTTTCTGGGAATCTATGAGAAATTAGTTTGGGTATTGGTCTTTTCCTTTCTAGTGCATCTTCACCCAGTGATAGAAAATGTAACAAGGAGTAGTTGAAATTTGATGTGTAGCTGCTCTTGGACCACTTCCAGTTCTGAAAAGGCCTCAGAGTTGTCAGCTAGGAGACTAATCGTAACCAGAGTGTAGAAAGAAAGCAGAGATGTGGAGCTGGACCTGCTGAAATATTGGAGGTTGGGCATGTAGGCTGCCAGGGTCTAGGTGGAAGAGAGGAGAATCTGACTCCAGTTCCAAAAAGAGTCTGAATTTTATGCTAAAAACTTAAATATTTTTCTTTCTCAGTTGAGTATTTGGGTGTCCTGATTGCTAATCTCCAGTTAAGAAATTACCCCCAAAAGTAGTGGCATGAAACTATTTATATATAACAGTGAATCAGGGCTCAGATTCCAGGAACAATTTATGTCTGATCAATGATGTCTGAGGTTTCAGCTAGAAGATTTAATAGCTGGAACTAGAATCTTTAGTTAGGTCTTTTTATTCTGGGGTTGTATAGCAGATACTGGCTGCAGTCTGGAAACTAATTCTTCCTCATGTGGTCTGTTTTTGTTTCATTTGGGGGTCATATCTGCAGGTAATCAGCGGCAGTTCCCGACTTGGTGCTTAGGGGATGCTCCTGGTGGTGCTGGGAGACAACCCCAGACCTCCACTTTGCAAAGGAAGTGCTCTAACCCTTTGAACCATCTACCCAACCCCATGTGGGCCTTTTTGTGAGATCTCTGTGCATGTGCTAGTTTGTGCTTCCTCACAGTGGTGGCTGGGTTCCAAAGCCAGCAAATAGGTTTTGCTTATAAGACATATAAGACAGTATAGTGAATACTTACGTCTATCAAATCCTAACATTTTTCATAAGGTTGATTCAGATTTTTATAAAACAATTAGACTAGTACCACCTGGAAATGTAGTACAGATTCAATGCAGTCCCTGTAAAGATACTCATGACGTTTTTCAAAGAAATCAAACTTTCTGAAATTCATATGGAACATGCCCCCCTGTTCCCCAGTAGCCAAGTAAATCCCCAGGAAAAAGAAAATGGGATGGGTCATTTTTATTAACTTCAAACTGTACTACAAAGTAGTAGTAATTAAAACAGTGGGGTACTAGAATAAAGGCAGACCCTCAGATCAATGGACAGACTCTCAGGTATATGGGCAGTTGATTTTTGATAAAGAAACAAAACTGACCACATGCAAAAAAAAAAAAAAAACTTCAGACCTCTTTATAATGTCATGCACCCACCCCTCCCAAAAACAGATTAAAGAAAATACCATGAAATCTGAATAGAAAATATAAAATATATTGAGGAAAATGTAGGCAGAACACTTTAAGATATGAACCTCAAAGGTGTCTTAAGTGGTCTGATACCACTGGCAAAGGTAGCACAATAAAAAATAAACAAGTGGGACTACATAAAATTACAGAGCTTGTTTATGCAAAGAAAACATGGGCTAAAAGACAGCTAACTGAATAGAAAAAAATATTTGCATTCAACACATTAAATAAAGGTTTAATATCCAGGATATTTAAAGTACTCATATAGGTCACCATATGTGTGTGTGTGTGTGTGTAATTCAAAAGCTCTGTCAGAAATTAGAGGAGATGAATAGCCATCCCCTGGAAGAAGACAGGCAGATGGCCAGCAGGCAAATAAAAAATTCCCCAGCACCACTTATCATCAGATAAATCTAAATTAAGATGACATGAGATACCACCTTACCACCAGTGAGAATAATATCAAAGAAAATAGGAACAATCTGTGTTGGAGGGGATGTGGTGAAAAAGAAACTCTATCCACTGCTGATGAAAATGTTGTCTTGTATAACATCTGTGTAAAACAGAATGGAGAGCTCTCAATAAATTTGGGATTAAACTGCCATATAACCCAGAAATCTCACTTTTGGGATCTACCCCTAGAACATAATACTCTCAAAAGGATATATACACACTATTAGTTATTGTTGGGCTTGGTATAATAGCTAAAATATGGACTCAGTCTAGGTTGAGTCCAACGAC